TACTTTTAATGCCTGCATTATTCTTAAATAAAAAATATTTTAAATTATATTAATATTTACAGTAACCTTGACCACAAACAACTTGATATTTTTGTATAAGGACTTATATATTTCTTGAAGACACCATATATAAGAACATTGAGTGCCCTTGGAAAATACTACTGTAGTAGCTAAATATTGAAATTTTTATTTGCAATTTTTTAACGTCGCTTGGACTGCCGTGGCTATTAGCGACAATTGTGTTGTTAGATATAATTTGTTAATTTCATTAGTTTCATTTAGTTAAGTGTTTTTTTAATTTCTTTATATGGGACGATGTTTTCAATTTTTATTTTAAATAGTTCTTTACAATATTCATTACATTGAAATAGGTGTTGAACGGTGAGGTTTACATTGTTACATGCTTGGTAAGTTGGTTGGTGAAGACCTAAAAGCAGATATAGATGTGTCAATTTGATATGTCCGATTCTTAATAGGCTAATCACACATGTGTATTGTAACATTTCTCTTATATTTTACAAATAATAATCATATAACCTCGGAAGATCACTTTAATACTATTGGAATACTTCCTAAATAATTAAGAGGTTATTAAATAATAAACAAAATTATAAGGGTATTAATATATTTATTTATCTCAGGTGTGGGTTACTGACAATCAGATCAAAACACTCAGACAAACTAAAATTAACTATACTAAACACTGTTTGATTTTAAAATAAAGTCAAATATGGATTGGCAAGCTAGCCTTTTTTCTATATACACTGTTTCTTCCTTTGTTGCACTAAATTCATTTGTCTTCAAATGCTTTCCAATGTTCTGCCAAACACAACTTCCAAAATAGTGACACTTTCTTCTACTCAACTCAAGCTCCCTGGGAGATCCCCTCTCTTGTAATTCCAAATAACTAGTCTATCTTTCAAACGACAATTTCCAAGATGGTAATACTATTATTGGATTTTACCCACTGGAGCCAGGATTCCTTCTGCTATCCTCTCTTCACTGCAGCCACATAACAACTGCCTGTCAAAACAAAAACCTTTGTCCCTCTCCTCTTTGGGATTTTTCTTCTTGGGAAACTACAGAGCAGCCATTTTTTTTTCCTGCACTAGTAGAACTAGATTAGCTTGCCTTTTAATTGTTCATCATTAATTTATTAAATCATTTTTACCCACTTCTAATATAGGTGTACATTACAGTATATATATATATATATATATATATATATATATATATGTATGTATAAAGGAGAATTTCTTAATCTCCTATTGACTGAGATATAATTTCTGTAGGTCTGGTAATTTGGTATTCATTGAAGTATTGTACGACTTCTTAATGTTTCTGATCTATTAGGCTCAATATTTAAATTATTTAAAATTCAATATTCTTACATTTAAGATTATTGTGTTCTGGCTTACTAAGTATTTTTTCAGTATATCGAAGAACAAGAAGTTCTCTTCTGTGATTCAGTGGCAATTAACCCGTTTTACTGTGTAAGGCTGATGCGGTGCTTTTTCTAAATGCTCCGATTGATAATCTTAAAGCTTTGTTCTGCACAGAGTCTAATTTCTTTAAAATGCTTTTGCTAGCTTAGGAATATATGATGCAGCCATAGTCTAGCTTTAATCTTATTAGAGTCTGAGTGAGTCTGGACATGTGATCCGAGAGTGTCTTTTATTTCTTTTGCCATCTGACTTCTCATAGATGCCATCCTCTTTGGCATTATATGGTCAGGCATTCTTTCTATATGTCATATCTATCTTATTTAAGCTCTTTTTATCAATGCCACAATATCGCGTTCCCCAAACATTTCTCGCAGCTCTTCATTCCTTCTTCTCCAAATCCTGTTCTCAAACTGTTTTGCCTCCTATTCTTCTCAACATTTTTTTCTCCGAGGGGTTGAGCATGCTTTCTGATTTTTTGGTTAAGTTCCATGTCTCACATCCATACATAAACATTGACCTTCCTCTGATTTTGTAAATAAGAATATTGTTTTTTGTAGAGAGTGAACTGAATTTCAAATCTCTTTCCATTAAAAATATCAAATTAAAATATTAAATGGTGGACTTCCTATCATGGTGATAATGTCATTTACAATTAAGGATTTTCTAATTTCAACCTTTTAAGATGAAACCTGATTTAGAACTTTCTGAACAAATATTTGGATATAATTGTAAGGTTTCTGAGAAATGGGTAAAATGAAATGCAAATGAATATATTTTCAATTTCCGATTAGAACCAATTTAACTTTTAAACTCACCAATTACCAATACTCAATCTCAGATCATTAGAAGGAAATTGGGAGTCCATGAATGAATTAGGCATCTACCCAAGATAGTTTTTAGAGATATCAAATGTCCTAATGATTTTTATGTGTTAACAGTAAATTAATTAAGAGAAGAAAGTTTCAGAAAATCTTTGAGCTTTAAATAAAACTTCAGTTTGCCGCATTGTAATGATGACTTTCAGAATTTGATATTTAATTGGGTGTATAAAAGTAAATTATTATCAAATAACCTTACCTATAGTATTTTAATTTTCAACAAAAATGGTTTATGTCAGGGTATTTCAACTACAGCACCCAGGGATGCCCAGAAGGTGGTTTCATGGAGAAGGTTGCGCCATCCTAATTTTTGTGGGAAGCATATTTTTATAGAGTTATGAATTTTCAGACTAAAGGACAAGTGGAAAACATGTAACAGACTGCAGCAAGTTTAATTGCATATGACCTATGATTTTTCTAATTTTTCCTTAGCTTGCTCTGTTTTTAAGAAAAGGTGAGCAATAAAATATCAGATTCCTGCACCACTTATCTTAGGGAAGGGATGGGCACCTTATGACAGCCTCTCAATACTGATGCCATCTAAACATAAGAAAGTTCAGATAAGTATGTAACAAAAACACAGATTTTCATATATTTACGATTTAGTAACACAACATGACCATTTTTATAAAAAATTAATTAACTGGCAGAAATCTCTATTTAAGACACCTTGTATTTCTTTGAATAGAAACATTCTTCTGCCATTTAACTTTACTTAAGTCAAGGGTTATGACGCACTCATACTCCATACTTGAATTCACCAATGATTCTGGATTCTATTTACACAAAAATAATGGCCATGATTTCGACAGACCTGCTTAGTTTGAAGGCTTACTGTGTGCATCAAGTGCCTGGTAAAAAGGTGAAAAAGTAAAACAATTTTCTTTCCTTAAAAAAAAAAAGACTCTTATTCTTTGTATCTTACCACGTCTTTTGGTTTTCCCCCTCGGCATTCGGGTTTTTTCCCGAGCCAGAAGTTAGGGCGGGGGATTAATGTCTGAGTAAAAAGTTCCCGGTATCGGGAGTTAAACTCATGATCTCAGTTTATCAGGTTACCTGGCAACACTTGTTTTGCACACGCTGTTAGCTCTCTGGACTGCCCCATATTCCTGTTGATAACTTAATTATCTCGAAGAAATCTGAATAAAATGGTAGATATCGTCAGATCCGTAAACAATATAAATAACTATCAGCAAGGATAGTTATTTATATAGGTTTAACGGTTTAATCACAATATAACTTCAAAAATAGTACCTATTTTTAAGTTGGGTCCGCACGACCACTAAAAGTCTCCTGAAATTTAAAGACTAAACATTCACTACTCACCGAAGCCCAAACCTGGTCCAAATCTGAATAAGAAAAATCCCTAATATTTGTTCACTACCTCTTCAAAACATTTAATCCACATCCCTATATTCTTAACCCAAATCACCTTGAGTGTATTGAAGCAGAACTGGATATACCCCTCCAAATGTCTCTTCCACCTAAAGCCTATCATCCTTCAGAAATATCCAATATCATTCATAGGTTATCTTCCCGCAAAGCTCCTGGAAACGACCTAATTACATTCCAGATCCTAAAACTACTTCCTCGGAAAGCCATTCTATTCATTACATATATATATATATAATGCTGTACTCCGATCCACATCTTTTCCTGACCCTTGGAAACTATCCATTATCAAAACGATACATGAACCAAAAAAAGCCACCAGAATACCCATCCTCTTACCGTCATATCTCTCTTTTAGCCATCATAGGCAAAGTTCTGGAAAAAATCATCCTAAAACGCCTGTAACCAATTCTAGATTACTTAATAAATACTTTTTTAAATTGAAAAAATGATTAAAATATAAGCAATCTGTGTGCGAGTGAGTCGTACAGAGGATTTGTACAGTATTTGGATTTGAAATATTAATTACTCTCTAAACACTAAATTTAATACTCATTTGACACTCTTTAATGCGTTTTAGGAGTTGTAAATCAATAACTGAAAATACTCTAAAATTTCCGTGTTTTTTTTTTTTTTGTTTTTTTGTAGAAGCTATAGGATAAGTGATAAATTACCGTACATCTTTTGTTGACGTCAAATAAAACGATTCCATCTTTCTGACCTATATAATCTAAATTATTCATTGTTACATAACGGTATGTAGTTAAGGAGAGTGGGGTAGTTCAGTGGTAGAAAACTGATCTTCCAATGCTCAACGTCCCAGGTTAAACAATTCCGGATAATGGCAGACAAATTATTTATTCTGTCATCAACCGTGGGACGACTCTGGGGTCGGGAGACCTTCCTCTACGATCTCTAGGAGAAACCTGGCGGTTTAGCGTGATCTCAAATCACCTCCTTACACGACCGTTGACTAAGAAACAGTACTTTTCCTAAATAGTACTGAACGTAAGACCCTTCATGGGTAGTAAAATAGATATTTTTATTTTTTATGTAGTTATAAAGAATGCGTTTAATTTTTAGTAGTATTTTTTTTGTTTTGCAATAATCGTTCTTACTACAATTCGGAAGCTCTAAAATGAAACCTCTATAAGTTCTAGATAGAAGCAGTTAAAACGTGTTAGCAGATAATGTTCCTTTGAAGCCCATGACTATAAAGACTTAATCGGCAAAGAGTACACCATATTCAGAGGATATGATGGGGAAGGAGGGAGGGGGGAGATATATGTTTTCCACTATTGGGAAAGGAGCAGGTGCAGGCCAATCCTCGACATTTGTATGCTCGGGGCCACCCCTGACGGCCATGTAAGTATGTTAGTTGTTTCAATATTGTCAGATAAGAGGGCGATGGTGGCGCTACCTAACGCTTGCCCGGGCACGTCCCTTCCCGCCCCTACATACTAATTCTCAATGTCTGCCAGCCTGTCTTTGGCTCACTTCCTCTCTAAAATCTTATTTATTCTAATCCCATTAAGGAGGGGTGGTGTTCTAAAGATGCTCTTCCATAGGGATTTTCATTTTTACTCTTCGGCAAATTTAAAGTCATGTCAAGATCAAATATTGTTGGAGTCTATTATAATCCTTGAAAAGATATAATTTTATTCTGCAATAATTCCTATAAATATATGTCAAGTGTCAAATGAAATGAAATGAAATAATGATAATTGAAGTATCTTGCTCATCAGGTAGTTTCCCTCATACTAGGCTTCAGTTGACAATCTGGTCTGAGTCTGAGGAAGGAAAACTAGAAGGATACTTCGGCGGAATGAATCACGGAATCTGAGGAGCTGTTAAGGCTCGAGATAGATTTTTTGCGTGATTTGGGAAATATGCTTATTCCAATTTACACAGTCCTAGAATTGAATAGGAATGTTGAGATATAGTAATGTATAGTAGGGTTGAATCTTGAAATCAATCAGAATCACATAACTTTTTTCTCCATCCTGGGGCTTACGAGATGCCTCAAGAATGTCGAAAGTATGAAAGGAAATGTATATTTGTAGGTCGTCATCATGCAAATAGTAATTGGAATATAGAATAGTGTTAGGTAGGTCATTAATACAGCTGGAAAAAAAATGTTGTTGTGAGGGAAGATCTCTGAGGAACACCTCAATAGAAGCACTGATGATGAGTGAGGTTTATAAGGAATAATGGCAACTAAGGAGCTATGAGATAGGAAGGAGTAGATCGGGGGGCGGGGTGGATGAGCGGGCAAGCATATACACAGCACCGCGTTGTCCGGCAACCTGATGGAAGATAATTTAGTAAAATAATTGCGAGTTTCTTCATTTAGTAAATGAATTAATGATTGGATTTATAGATTGAATGGCAAATCGATGAGTGTGAGGCTTCTTACCTGTAAAGTCGCACTGGAAAGGACAAAAGGAGGTTTATCTAGTCTTCTGGCGACACTATTGAAATTTAACCAACCGAAACAATACTAAAAGTTGTGTACATAAATAAACATAATAAGGGATGTATAAGAATTAAATAAATCAATCACATATATACATTATTGGCGCTGTTTGGTGGAAGATTTAAAAGTTATGTTGAGTAATAAATGCAAAACTTTGAATTTCGATAACTCAGCTGGATGCTAGTAGAACCTAACAAAATTAGATAGGTTTTGGTTATTGTTTCATGCGGAACTAAATGACATAAGTCACATTCTATAACCTGTCCTGCCTTAAAAGATATTATGATTTTAAAATCTTAAAATTACATTTTTTTTTTTTTTAGTTATTTTCTACCATAGCTTTCTTCAGAAGAGATTTTAGCAACAAGTAATAGAATATTTTCCTCTCAAAATTAAATTTTTTGAGATAGCATAAACAAATATGATTTTTTTAACAGTTTGGAAAATATCTAAACAAAATTGTTTTCATTTTTTTGCTCTATTTAGTACTTAAACCCTCTTTACAAACTCTAATCTCAAAGTTCATACGAAAGAAATGGCGAATTGGCTCTGAGTTTTGACCACTATGAGTCGTGTAAATTTTTGTAAAAATCTAAAAAAGATTTTTAAAAATAAATAATAATAATTTATATCCATATCTACATTACTTTATAATATAACTATAAGCGCACTATAGGACTTCAATGAAAGTCATGGGCCGACTAGAAAAAAAAAACAAAAAAACAAACAGTGGCTCTTTTATTGAAGAAGAAATATTTAATGAGGGTACTGTGATCTTCTCTGTAATGGATTTTTGAAGTTCAGTTTATAAGTGCTGTTGAAGAACTGCTTAATGTGTCTTAAAATGCTGCAGTTATGGGCTTCCAAGTCATGTGCAATTGTGTTCGGTAAACGTGAGACGGAAGAGCACGACGATAAATGTTCTGGACTGAACTCGTTTAAAACACTGAGAGCGTACGAAGTGAAACACAGCACAATCGCAGTATCACCTTATCGTTAGCCGACAAGAAGGGTTTGATTAAGCAGTTTCCTCCGACGAGGTTTTTATCTTCCGCCCGGGGCGAATAAGATGGCATTCCGTTCACGTAGGAGAGATAGATGGAGGCGGTAGGTAACGCAGTTGAAGAGAGATGAGAGATAAAGAGCTAATAAAGTTAGCGACTCTCTCCCTGGCTAATAGGAAAACTTGGGCTCTGTCCTCGGTCAGTGGGGAAGGGCATTATAACGTGTCTAAACTGCCTACTTATTGCTTTACCTATGACGATCCCAGATAAGAAGAATTTTGGCACGTTCTGGTTTATCTCTCATGGTTCAACTACTTTGGGAATCCCAGCAATTCGTTGCTTCTTAGTATTTATGAGTGCTATTCTTAGTATAGTATGAGTACTAATGTTGAAACTCATCTCCCAAATTCTTTAATGTATATATTTAAAAATATGATATACGGTTTTAAATAATATATTTTGTGGTTATTGAAGAAAGCTAGTCGACTGTTCTACATATCACCCATGATATTTTGGTGTTTTAAATAATAACTCTTGGATTGATTTAGCGTGATGCTGTGTGATTCAGCAGCTCAACACAGTTGAGAAGCCTTACAATATTAATGTATTGGGTTGGCAAATAAGTCCTTTCGATTTTTCTGTCACTATGATACACTTCTTATCTGATGAATTAACCCCTAAGGTGGATTGTTTATCCTGTTTGTAATATGTAACCACTATATCTGTTAACTCTTGTTGAAACTAGCTTAGTAGTGTGTTTGTTATTGCATTGTGAATATGGAAGAAAATATCATTCATTTTTGGTATATTTTGTTGTATTATTTTACAATTGGTAAGCTTGCTGCAGAAGCTCATAGAAAAATTTGCACTGTCTATGGGGATGATTCCTTAACCGAATGCATCTGCCAAATTGATTTGCCGAATTTCATTTAGGAAATTTTGGCATCAATGATGCTCAAAGGTCTGGTCGCCCACATGAACTTGAAACGAGCAATGTTAAGGCTATCGTTGATACAAATCCCACCCCATCAGTGCCAGAGATTGCTACGGCCCTAAATGTGTCGCACACAAGCGTAGAAAACGATTTGAACAAGCTCGGCTATGTTTCCAGGTTTAATGTTTGGGTCTCTCACTCTCTAACCGAAGTCAACTTGGCAACACGCATTTCTGTTAGTGATTCACTACGGAAACGGCAACAAAACGACCCATTTTTTAATAGGTTGGTAGCAGGAAATGAAAAATGGATATTTTACATAGTGACCTAGTATTGAGGCTCCTAGATCAATGTCAAAACCTCGATTGCATCCAAAGAAGATAATGCTTTCCATATGGTGGGATTTCATGGGTGTTTTTTTCTGAGCTATTGCCATCAGGATAAACAATTGATTCAACTCTATACTGCTCACAATTAACGAAATTGGATCAATAAATTAAAAATAAATAAACTAAACACCCTTATTAAATAAATAAACACCCAGAACTGGCAAATCGGAAGGGTTTTGTGTTCCACCAATACAACACGCCAGGCCCCACACCTCATTGGTCATTCGCAATAAATTATTGAACCTTGGATGGGACCTTTTGCCCCACCCTCCCTATTCACCAGACCTAGCTCCAAGTGACTTCCACTTATTCCGGTCTCTGTAGAACTGCATCAACGGAAAGAAATTCCAAAAGGAAGAGGACATCAAAAACGACTTGGAATAGTTTTTTTTAAACAAAAACTCCAGACATTCTATGAACATGGCATTATGCAATTAGTGAAAAGATGGGAAAAGTCATATCAGATAATGGTCAATATATTGTAGATTAAACTAAATTTTATGTCTATAGTATATTGAGTTGTATTTTACCCTCAAAAACCGAAAGGACTTATTTGCCAACCCAATAATTCTCTCTCACAAGTAATAAAAAAAAAAAAGCGGTACGGTCAGGAAAGAATAATGCAACAAGGAAATAATTTGTTTTAATCTGTGCTGATATTTTGACACAATATGCGAATATTCATTAAGTTGCGAATCAGTGAGTAAATAAAAACTTTTTTTTTCTTTTACCTATCTCACTATTTCTGTCATTGAGAGGGAAGGGAGATGGGAGGGTTGTTTGTTAAGGTATTACCAAACCTATTCTAATCAGGATAAGTGAGAAGATTCCGTTCATCCCCCTCGGAATGAATTTCAATCCACACAGGCATATTTTTCAAAATACTAACATGGATCATGTTTTATTGTTAATTGTTTATTGAATGATACAGAACATCATGGTTATTCTATATAGCTCCACATTTCATTCTTATATATTAGTTGCCTCAAGACTTCTTCCACTCTTCCCAGTACAGGGCGACCGCTTACTACTTCCTGATTCCTAGAGTTTTACCATCGGCACTTAAAGTTACCTTCCGTGTAGTCAAAGATTTTGTCTTCCCACCATTCTTTTACCGTCTACTTCCATGCTGATGCTTCTCTGTGATTGAGATTATTTCCATCCGTACAATCTAGCCCACCCGAGCCCTGGATCGGGATGTGCTTTACCGCAATATACTGTGTTACCTTTGATTGGACCATTTATTTTTCGGAGTAGCTTTCTTTCGAAAAATTGTCGTTTCTACTAGCTGGTCATTGTCACCGTCCATGCTTGTAGATTGTGACAGCGAATGGCATTTCTTATACTTCAAGAGACTACGATAACGTTTATTTATGACAAAAAGTCTTGGCCTCAACTAAATGTTTGTATATTATAACTTTTTCAAAATAGTATTACCGATTTGGATGGTTTGATTAGTTTTAAGGTATTGGATCAGTCAGTAATAGAGAACATAATAATTTAAATTTAATTTTTTCATTAAAATATCACCAAATACAGGGTAATAACGATCAATGGACACCTCCTGGTACTCGGTGTTTGAATGACTTTACTACTCGGTACCCGATAATATCTGTTACCTGCCGCCTCACTATTTATAACTAATAATTCCTTTATTTAATTTTTTTTTGTGAACTTATTCGTGTATTGTATTTTATTTGAAAAATAGGTGAAGTGATTTAAAACGAATGATATTAGGAGATGACAGATGACGAAAAACTTGGACTAAAATTTTATTAAATAACAATTACTTTAAAGGTTTAAGGCCTATTTAGTAAAAACATTTCCACTTATTACCTAATATTGGAGGTGATTAACTCTGAAAAAATATTTTTAGGAAGAAAGGTATCTGTATCTAAATTGTACTCTATTAAATTTATGAAAGGTATATATAGGGTATAGATAGCCCGAAGGAGAGAGAGCTTTCTACACAAGAGGTTCGCTAACAATTATCACGCTTAATGGGCGTTATAATGGGAATAGCTTCTCTCTCTTTCCTCACTAGAAATGCCTGTCCGTTCCTTAGTCTACCTTATTCTAAACGTTTTGATTATGTTCTACCTAAATATGGCTTCCTCATAGTTTATAAGTTTATTGTTAAATAAACTTGATTTTGATTTTAATATTTTATTGAGAAATATTACAATCTGTCACAGTTAAGGACACTTATAATAGAGTTCAGAGAGTACATCCATACCGTATATACAGAAATATAAATAAATAAAGTAATAACAAAAGAATAAGAAAAAAGAACAAAAGAGAAAAAAAAATATATATATACACATAAGTAAGTAAAAATAGAAATAAAAGTAAAACAAACATCTTAGATACAAACATACCTATATACACTATTTACAATTAGCCAGGTGATCTCCGAACCAATCTTGTCCCCCCACATGTGGAGGGAAAAGCGAGGCTTAGGAGATCCCTACGCTTCTCCCTCAGCCACTTCACTGGTATTTAAAACTAGCGTATTAAATAAACTGAAGTCCAAGATACGACATCCTATAATTGAGATAAGGAAAATTGATGAAAGTGGTAATCAACGCAATTTTTTACAAAAATGGTATTTAGTTTTTTCGAAACAGCTGTGTATTTTATGTTAAATAATATTTATAAATAGAAAATAACTTTATTCTGGGTTATTAAATAACCTGGAATAAAGTTTCATTCATTTTATTAATTATTAAAATAACTTTAACAACATAGTGCAAAATGAAAAGACTACATCTGGCCTAAATAAAACAATAACGCAAAAAAAAAAAGTAAAGAAAACATTAGTTAAGCAAGCTATATACAAAACAAATAAACCTGTATACAAACACTTAAAACTATGACAAAACACTTAAAACTATGAACAGTAATAAAAAATTATAATTATAAACTTTTAAGAAAAGAAATCTGATGCAGATATAAGGGAATGAGAAGTCATTATTAGTCGAATCTGATCGATAAATCAGTTGTAAACATTTGATAAAATAAAATAATTTACATTTAACATTTAAATTTTTTGTCGCCAGTTTTAACAATATCTGTATGTGATTATATTTGTTAATATTGAATTTAGATTGAATAGGTGAGTTAGTTTACAAATCGAACAATATCACGTATATACTATGTAATGATATTAATGAGATCTTCCACTCTGAGTACTGAGCAGTGTAATAATTATGAACTTTTATTATAGTTTGTAAATTTTTGTACTTATAACTTTTATTTTAGAAAGAATAAATAAAAGTTTAACAATATTTTTGTTTATGACATTTATATATTCATTTATTTATTGTTACAAATTACCCCAAGATTTATTAGAAAATCCTATCCTGTCCATTATGAAACTTTAAAGAAATATGTGTACAATTTATGTCACAATTTACAACACAGAATTACAGATTTCATCAAATTACCACCTGAACTAAATTTGACAATGTGTATTTTAAAAAATATTTCGATCTTCTTAATCGCATCTCTATCCAAGTTTTTTAAAAATGTTGCCTCTTCCTCCGGGGCTCATTCACCATTTCTTTGATGTTTTCTGCAAGAACTGCCTTGTGTCTTTTGGCTCTTTACAGACATCACACTTTCCGATTTTTTTAAATCCCATAGTAGCATGATATTTATTTGTGCACCCGTGGTTAGTCCGTGATAATCTGTACAAGGCTGGATCGACCACAGTGCGAATGGAGCTGTCGCTCCTGGCGCCAAGTCCTTAGGGGCACCGACTCAGTGGTAAAATATCAGCATGGACGTCCGTATAAGGCTTCCACGAAAAACCTTGTGAGTAAGGAATAAATGTTTTCAGCCCGGTTTCAGATACTGCTATTGTGTGGTAAAAATTATCTAGGAAATATTTCTGGAATTCATCATAGTGAGCATTATCGTTTAGTATATTAGTCATAACTGTGATGTTGGGAAATAGAGTTGAATCGAAAAGGGTCAAGGATGGAGAATTCATTTTTGACTTATTGAAATTTGACATGTTGAAAAGAACAAATTAAAATCACCGAAATTCGAATAAAAATTTATATACAAGATTCCTTTACGATATAAGAAAATATAGGTATGATTAAAATAAATCAAAAGAAAAAAACGAATTGTCAAATAACATTTCAGAATATTATTACTAAAATGAAAATGGAAAATAAAAAATAATGAAATAAAAATATTTTGGGTGAGAACAAATAAAATTACTACAAACTTTAGAAAACTTATATGAAAAATTCAACTAGCAACATGCAGTTCGCTAGATTTCCCTATAATTACCGCCGGTTATCCGTCTGACTGTCTGCACCGGACTGTATCCCCTTTGAACCAGACGTATTTTATTCTTGCTGTCATCTTTTTTTGTCTAGCTGCCTAGTAGAGATGCTTATAGGCTTTGGTGCGGTAAACTCGATGCAACTCGTTCTCTCCCCAACCATGATGTTGTGTAGAGAAGTCCCTCTTCGTTCTTCTCTGCTGCAGTATCTCATCTCTTATGATTTGCCTAACAAATCGAGCGATATTAGGCCCTAGGGTCCCTTCCTGCTTGGGGTTGGGTCTCATTACGTGATTCAGATCGTTTGGATTCAACTTGACGCCCAGAACCGCTCCGACTGAGGATGGTGCCAGTCACGGTATCGTCCAGCTTCTCTTGAATTCCTCGAATTTCGATTGTATTTTTCAACTGATATTGCTTAGTAAAATTTAAACAACTCTCCAGCTCTAATATTTGTTCTTTAGTGTATTGTTTTCGAGAGATAATTTCTCTACGTGTTTTTTCTGCTCTTGCAGAAGGGTTTCTATTTTTAGTGACCGCTCCGTATTTTCAAATGATAGTTCTGACTGTTTGTTGAGATTGTCTTTTATTTTCTTTAATTTCTCGATGCCCTGAAGCTTGGTTTTCTCTCTAACGTCCTCGGGCAGACTCCCAGTAGTGTAATAATTGTAATATGCTCAGATGCTGCTAATGTACCCGATTCAGAATCGGTACATATCCATTATTTACTAATTTCCTTAAATCCTTCTGAGTCTGAGATATAAATTTTCATGCATTTAGCATGGAATAAATTTGTTCATATGGTACAGGCTAATTTAGCCTTGTCTTCTTGAGCTACCGTTTTACCACACGTTTTGTAATTCACCATTTTAATGACAATTTCTATTAATTTAAATTATCGTAATTCAAATAGAGAGAGTTGAATAAAAACAATAATATCAGCACACCTTTGGGTGTAGGCTGCTGGTGATTAAGGTGATGTCTGATTAGCTGTTCCTACCAATCCAACTCCACCGTCTTTGTCACATACACTTAGTTTTATTAATATTTACGATAATATTAATTAAGACAAACCTTAATTCTAGTACTATACAATTGTCTATAAACAGTACTAAATATTTATGTTTTTATTTTTTTAACAGTAAAGTCTATAATAACTATTGATATATTTAGCGAGAAGCGTACAATTAAGGTCTTGACTGAACGAGTTATTTTCTAAGACTGATTTTTCTCTTTTGATTTATTCTCTGATATAAAATGCACAACTCTCGAATATATGAACCACTGCCATTCTGTCTCCACACTTTCGACAAATGGGCGGGTTTTCTTTTGTAATTAACTGATGGTGAGTAAGCCTGGTATGATCTATTCTTTGTCGGGTAAGGACAATTTCCTCTCTGCGTTTACTGCGACAGGAACTGCTCCATGGCTTCACATCCTTTTTTTATCACATTAATTTATTTACCCCAGTTCGGCTCTGAATTCATTTTTTGTCGCTTGATTCAGAGCAAACCATGGAACAAGTCTGAAATTTATTAATAAAAAAGTAAAAACATTTTGAAGCTAAAACTTTTATTTTACAGTTAAAAAAACAATACGATTAATTTTGACCTCTTATTTATGCAATTACAGTTGAACTCATTTATAAAAACAAAAATAACTGTTTCAACCTCTGATATAAATTATTTCGACTCAATTACTTCTCAAATATAATTTTTTATTTATAACCTTTTGCATCTATGTACAACATATGGGATCACAGATGACTATATCTACCAAATAACTACTGAACTTATTGGAAATATGAAAAAAATGTGAACAATACTTCGAAAACAGAAATATTTTATTAGTAAAACTTATGGTAATAAAACATAACAAATTCTTTTGAATATGATGTGTTCTTAAAATATATTTTTTTTTAAATATCGTTAAGGTGTGTCATTCACAAAGTATGGGAAACACAATTATCTTACTTAACTAGCAGCGAAATTAGAGCAAAGCCCAAGTTTTTTAAAAATCTCTTTTTCTACCAACAGCAGATTGAAAACATCAAAAACAAGAAATAAAAAAACACTAGCACTGTGAAACAATATTTGTTTTGTTTTCTAGATATTTGTTTTCCATAGTTTATGAAATGTCTAAACACACATTTTGGGGCATTGTTATATTAAAACATATGATATAGTGTTTTGTTTTCTATAGTGTTTTGTAGCTACAGTGCACTGTTACAATTTCACTAAAAGCTTCATCTTTCGTTAATTAAACTTCTTCATGAAGGCTAGCATACTTCCTCGTGAACTTCGGGGGTGCCGGGCATGCCTCAGCTGCTCACTGATAAAGACCTTCGACCAGTTCGAGCAGGAGGGCTGCGAAAATTGCGAACAGTTCCTGCACCTCAAGAAGAACAGAGACAACGTCCACGACTGCACTAGCGCCAACTTCGACGGGTTCATCGGGATGAGCTGCCCCGAGGACAGCTGGGTCGCCAAGTGGCAGAGGATGACCACCTTCGTTCCTGGGGTCTACGCCATTTCGGTGGCTGGGACCCTCCCGCCACACATCATCCGCGAGATGAAGAAGAAGGATAGAGTATACAGGTCCAGGGATACCAGTTTGCGCTGATGATCTGTATTGGGAATCAGGCAGTTTTCCTTATTGGTATAGTGAATGGTTTTTAAAAAAAATGATCATTTATTTTATTGTTAATAAAATTAAGTAGAAGATATTTCTAATAATAAGTTTTAAAACTGAAGACTATTATATTGTATTAATATGTAAATTAAAAAAACAGATAAATTTTGATTTTTTCATATTAGTTGATTTTGATGAATTAGTTCTTAAGAATACAAGTTTTATTACATTCCTTGAAAAAAAAAAAAAACCGGCTTCGGAAATATATTTTCACACCACTTTTTTTTTTTTTTTTTTTACATATTTAGGTTAGTTTATCATAAATATTAAAATATTTAATCAATATTTTCAATATAGGTTAACTTTCAAACACATCTTTGTGAATTTATACTTTATTTATCGATATAATAACATTGTAAGTGAAAAAATAGTACAAACCCTTTGAAATATCCAATATAGTTACAATAAGTGCACAGTTTTCTGATTTCATAAAGGGAAAATTCTTAATTACTTAAGGTTATGATAAGTCTCTTATGACTTTTCGCTGTAAACCGACGGGTATGTTAAACAATAAAATACATATTAAGGAAAATATCTTCTACTAAAAAAAAAATCTGGTGCACGCAACATACAACTTTCACTTACCACGCTACTTTGAATAGAAATTATTTTTTGTCATTGTTGGACTATTATAAGATTTTTGAAGTACATTTTAAACGTAGCTATACCTTAAAGCTTACAGACAACAAATCATTAAGACCATTGAAATTATAAAAACTCTATTTATTATATTGACGGTAGGCATTAAGAATCTATTTACTTCATCTGCTTTTATAAACCACACAATTTCAGTCTCTGAGCCTTTCAGTCGACAGAATGACTAACTGCAATTTCAACATTTTTGAGTGATGCCATTTTAGTGATATTTCTAGTTGGTAAAGTTATATCTATACAGACAGTGAGTGAGTTGATTCCAGAGCAGGTGATTGCAGTGTTGGAATATAGAACTGTGAATAAAGGTATATATTTTGCCACTAGAAACATCACAAAAATTAATAATAAAAAATGTTGAAATTGGAGTTAGTCATTCTGTCAACCGAAAGGCTCATAAGCAGACCCTACAGGGTAATTCATGAATGAACGTCACAGGAAGTTCCAAGATTAGCCGCTATAGCTTTGATCATGAAGACCCTTACACGTTCAATCATTACTGATCATTACTTATCGTTGCTGATTTAGGTTAGATCGTTGCTGACCAATTTAGTGCAGTTGTAAACAAAGAAACAGCATAGATATGCTTATTTGGACATTGTCATATATAATATTGGGCATCAAGAGAAAAACGGAGATATAATAATTACTTCCTAGTGCCTGAAAATCGTTTAGACCAAAGTTAGTCCAAAATATAAGTCAACTACATACAAAAACCTATGAAAAGTATTGCGAAAATAATCAATTTGTTAAGAAAAATGGAAAAATTAATGGCAAATAAACAAAACAGTTAAAGATTTTTTTTCTATAAGTAAATTGTGAAGTTTCCACTTTTTTTTCTCTCCAATTTATTGCCTACTTGACTATTTAAAGAAAAAATAGTTGAAAATGGTTAATAATAATATAGACTAGGGATATAAACAACTATTTACTTTTATGAAATTATTTACTTAATAACGAGACCTAGGTAAACTAACCTATCTAGTAGTTAGGTTAGTCTCATAGAAAATCGTTTTGACAAAAGTTAGTAAAATATAAGTCTACTACTTACAAAAATTAAGGAAAGGTATTGCGAAAATAATAAATTTGTTGAGGAAAATGGGAAAAGAACTGATAAATATACACAACGTTAAAGTTTTTTTTTTCCTAAAGTAAATTGTGAAGTTTCCTCATTTTTTTTTTTAATTTGTTGCCCACTTGACTATTTAAAAGAAATAGTTGAAGATGGTTTAAAATTATAAACAAGGGATATGAAAAATTATTTAACTATTTACATATAATGAAAATCAGAAATTTATAATGGTTGTGAGGCCTAGGTAACCTAACCTATCCAGCAGTATGGTTGGTCTCCCCAGCCCATATGTTTAGTCGGTCTCCCCTCCACTTCTCGTGAATGAACCTTTGATTTCCGGATGTTCGGAAATCCGCAGCGCACCACCATCAGTACTTCATTCACTACCTTACTCGACAATTCGGAACGTCATTAGTGCAATTCCGATTGACCGTATAGGGTCCCCTATATATGCCTAAAGAGATTTGAAAGTATTGTATATCTAAATATTTAACCTATAAATGATTATAAATTGTAGGACTATTAGTTATCAAACTGTTATTTTGCATTGTAAAGTTTACTAAAATGAAATTACGTGATTTTCATTGCCTGTCATGGATAAGACTTGTCACACTAATTGTTAGTGGTTAATGTTGGGATTTCACAAAGGGAAAATTCATCAAATTATTCACTAATTTAATTTTCTAAAAGGTTACTTGATGATTTTTTGGAATAAACGGCCAATAGAAACCTAATTATTTAAATATAATATCTTATCTAGAGTTATCAAACTACAGTAAATGTATTTAAGGTTATAAACATATCCATGAAATATTTTTATATTTCACTTCTTCTTTCACACAAGTACAATGAAATAGTATTTTAAACAATGGCATTGGCTTGATTCGGTGGATTTTAAATCCTGTTTTTTTCAAACGCAGAAAAAATTTAAAAGTTTACATTTAGTAAGAAAATTGCATTTAATTTCCTTGGAAACATGTGATTTACGTTAAATAATGTTAGTTTTCTGAAATTATTATTTATATATTTTTTTTGTCACTCTCCGTTACCTTCCACATTCTTATTTATTTTATATTATTTTTTCTAAAATTCTCCGTTTTCCAACGATATATTATAGGTATACCTTTTGACTATTATTTACGGATATTCATTTTCGACCTGAATAAACATTTTTCTTTTTTTCTCCTTAATCCTATTATCGAATTCTTTCAAAAGTTATATTTAGACATTTTTTATAGTTGCTGTCAATAAAACCGAGTCAAATTTTCAAAATAAACCATATTAAAGGTACTTTAGAGGAAGACGTATATGAACATTGGGCATGTAAGTCCTGTAAAATGACATCAATGGGGATACGACCTCAATAGTATTAAAGAGCACTGAATTATACAATGATACACCGAGTTTAATCAAAATCGTTGGATCCGTTTTTGAGAGAATTGTAAAAATGGTATATAAAGTGGCACTTTCGGTTAGCCGATCTTAAGGAAAAACTTGCTGTCACATCTAAGGCATATACCTATCTTAATTACGTAAGGTCAGTTTCGCACGTCTTTTCGTTTTTGAGCTAGACTGTTCACATACACACAGACCATTTTACGGGATTTGGTTATTTGGATTCAGGAGACCTCAAAACATGTATTTCCGTTGAAAACTCAGATTCGAAAATTTTCGCTATCGCAATATTTTCCCTTTCTATATATTCCATGTATAGGTAAGTGAAAGTAATAAGTTAATGTAGCTTCTTCTTCTTCAACACAAATTTAAATTAAATTGAAATTTCCACTCCCAATGACAGCGAGAAAATGTGTACAAGATAAAATACGTAGTTAAAGTGAGCTTGTCAAAATTAAATAGAAATTCTCCTCCTCACTGGTAGCTTTGTCAGCATAGTGTGTGCCATTGTCCACTGCAGTCATGGCATGTTACAAACCTCGTCTTATAGGTTACATAACATATTCCAGTTACAGTGATATTTGCCAAATTTATTAACACACACTCGACCACCTCGACTTCATAACTTAGTTATTGCATTTCAAGAAAATAACAAAATTTAATAAGTGTCAGCTACCTTTTATAGAAGGCATTGTGGAATGCAACTCATATTACCACAGCACAGAACCCGAGTTGATATTAATCTGGTTCCTTGGAAATGGTGAGTGGTATTGTGTGGAATAATGACCATGCTTGATCCGACATGGGCCACCGATTCGACCGATGCGACAGATGATTTAATGAACTGAACCTGCTTTGATCAAAATTACCTCAATTTCGCATTGAATACCTTTAATTTGCGTCAGAACTGAGACTTCATGTCCATTCATTATGTGATTACAGCTGGACTCTAAGCTGGGGGTTTAATTTTTTGGAAGTTTAATTTTTACAGAAATATTTTATTATTATTATATTTCTTTTTTTGTGAAAATATATCTGATAGAGAAAATTATCAATTATTATATATTATATACAGAATTACGCTAACAGTTGATGAACAAAACAGCACATTATATTGAATATATACATATATATATATTTTTTTTTGTCTATAAAAGATGTATTTGCGCCTGTCGACTTATTATTGACAATCAGCAAATGTGATGGCGATACATGAAATAATGGCATGACAGGCATGGGGAAGGAAAGTACTCAGCAGTACCTCTTCCCTAACTTGTTCCAATTACTTAAGTTGTTTAAGAAAGGAGATTTCTCACCCAACGCCTTTTTAGTTTCCTCCTCATGTTCTGGGGGTATATCAGCTGTGGCCATGTCTCTTATTTGTCTGTTATTATGTCCATATAAATTTGTGTAGAATCGTTGATAAAGGATCGTTATATGTTGGTCAACTGTTGGAAAGTGGAGGTTAGTATGTAGAGATTTGTTAGTCACGTACCAAAGTGATTTTGATATGAGTCGCAATAATTTTGATTGGAACGTTGGAAAGTTTTTGTAGGTGGGTCTTTTTAGCGATGCCGTATATTTGTGATGAGTACGTCCACATGGGCTTAAGTAAGTATGTATATGTATTCAGTTTCTGTTTCAGTTTTATTTTTGAAGATTTAAAAAAAAGAGAGTAAAGTAGTTTGAGTGTTTGTTAAGTGTTAAGTGTCTTACGTTTCATTTTAATATACGGACCCCATGTCATCCTTCTGTCGAAGGTTAGTCCAAGGTAAAGTACCGTGTCGAATTTGATTGTCAATATAAACTGCAGGGCAGGTGTTTTTTCGAAGTGTAAATGTTGTATGTTCCTTCCTCACGTTGTTCTTATTAGTATGTTATAAGAAGGCAGATACTGTTAGTTTTAGGACAGGTATGAGTTACTTTTTATTTGGTGCTTAATATTCTTATGTTTTCCATCTAGAAGGGACGAACGGTTTATCACTACATTTAACCAAAGTGCGAAAGTTGATATTTATTCGGAAGATATACCAC